TTACCACTAACCAGGTTGTTTCTTCTTCCTCATTTGGATTGCCATGTCCATTCCAAACATCAAATCAGCATTATGAAAGATATCTAATTGTTTATCAACTTTTTCTCTCATAATAGGACTTGGGCACATTCTCTGAATAGTCTGATATAGTCCCATCTTTATCTCATAGTCCGCACTACCGGTGTAATGAAACCTGAAATAATTATTTTGATTTACAATGATCATTGATCAGCATACAATATATAGATATAAAATGATATAAAAATTGAGAAAATTAAGTCTTACGCGGGATTGAGATAATAGGCAGCTGCATGAAGAGGTCTGTGTAATTGCATGTTCCATCTAGTGTCAACAATAGTCCATATGGGCTCATAGTGCTTCTTCACATTACGAAAATTCTTTTGGATTTGTTCCTTTGCCTTGTCCATTGCCTCATAAATATACCCCATGGCAGGCTTTAGATCCCCATCTACAAGCCTCAACACCTTCACCAATGGCAACACACACTTCAAGCAATACTTGATTGATCCCCAAAAATTTTGGTCAGCTAGTATAATATCCATCACTTTTACACCATCTCCCTTCTTACAATATTGACTTCTCTGCCATTCCTCAGAAGCAAACATTGCTCTAAACCCAATTTTATTTTCAAATAAACTCCTTAAAGTTAAATATGAGGTGGCAAATCTGGTCACACAAGCTCTCACCAAATCCCTTTTCTTTGTATACTTTCTCATAAGATTTAACACCCAAGAATGTCTATAAATGTAAACAGTGATTTTCCTTGCCTTTGACATTATATCCTTGTGCAGAGGAAGGTCCCCAATATCCGTCAAAATGAGATCTAGACAATGTGCACCGCAAGGAGACCAAAACAACTTTTTCCTCTTTGCCATTAACAACTCCCCAGCTTTTACATAAGCCGATGCACTATCAGTTACAACCTGAACAACATTATCCTCACCAATCTCTTCTACCATTGAATCTAAAAGCTCAAAAAGATTATCCGCATTCTTACAAATACCTGAAGTATCAATACTTTTAAGAAACACACTTCCTCTAGGACTATTCACTAAAAAATTAGTGATAGAGCGATGTTTCCCATCAGTCCATCCATCAGACATAAGAGTACAACCCGTCCTTCTCCACTCTGCTTTATAATTTTCCATCAACCCACCATTAATCAAATTTGTTTCTTTTTTCAAAAAAGAACATCTCACCTCATGATACGATGGTGGTTTCAATCCCTTACCAAACGATGCAACAGATTCTAACATTCTTACAAAATATGGATCCTTTACCAAATTAAAAGGAAGGGCATTAGCATAAAAACATCTACAAATATCCAAGCATACATCTTCCCTACCCTTTTTCTTCAACATAGTATTCAAAGTAATTGTGGTGGTTGGCTGTATTTTATCAGCAGTAGTACTACCCACACTGCCACTACTTTTCGAATCCACAAGACTCATATCTTTGCTAATTGCCCTATCATCCAATAATTGCTTAAAAAATTCAGTTACTTCCTCAGGGCAATGCTTACACGCTGCTACATCTTTGCGATTACTTGCCAAATGATTTTTCATTCTTGAAATGCCTCCCCAATAGACATTTGCACAATGAATGCATTTCAATTTCAACCTTGATCCTTCTACTTTGTCACAATGTTCCCATGTGGGATCATTAGCAAGTTTTTTAGTCATTTCTATATGAAAATTGGATGCAGGTGATGCCACTGTTGCACAAAATTAAAATTAATCAAGATTCAGAAATTTTTATACAAAAAAATTTATATACATTTGGCTTTGTAAATAAATTAATATCATTACATACTGCACAGGACCAACGATCAATGGAGACTGGGAAGAAGAAGAAAAAGGAGTACCTGGAGAAGGAAGAAGGCAGCGATCAACACCCACAGTCGGAGACAAGCAATCACCCACAGACGAAGACCGGCAATCACCCACAGTTGGAGACCACCCACAATCGATCACCACCCAGACTCGAAGACCACCCACAGTCGAAGACCACCCACCTAGTCGGAGACCAGTCGAACACAGTCGAAGACCACCCACAGTCGAAGACCACCCACCCAGTCGAACACAGTCGAAGACCACCCACAGTCGAAGACCACCCACCCAGTCGGAGACCAGTCGAACACAGTCGAAGACCACCCACACAGTCGAAGACCACCCACAGCGATCACCACCTACAACGTTCACCACCCACAGTCGATCATCACCCACCCACAGTCGATGGCTGAAGAGAAACCACAGACGTCGTCGATAGACCACCCACACAGTCGAAGACCACCCACAGCGATCACCACCTACAAGTCGAAGACTTCCCACAGTCGATCATCACCCACCCACAGACGTCGGTCGATGGCTGAAGAGAAACGACAGACATCGGTCGATGGCTGAGAGAAACCAGACGTCGGTCGATGGCTGAGAAATGTCTGAATTTTTTTTTTGTAACCCTAACCACTGAAACGACGTCGTTTCAGTGGTTATAGGGAATTGAAAAAAAAAAATTCAACACACTTCAAACGACGTCGTTTTAAAAAAAAAAAAAAAAAAAAAAAAAAAAAATTTTTGCACGTATCGTGCGTTTCGTACCGATACGTATCGTATCGTAAAAACGTATCGTGTATCGGACGATACAACGCAAAAACGATACATAACTACGATCCGTATCGTTTTAGGGCTGTATCGTAACGTATCGTACGATACGTATCGTGTATCGTACGATACTAACAACTATGGACATAAGTATATCCAATCGGGAAGTGATATCATCTATATCATTCTGCCAAGGAGGAGCAGTAGTAGGAGTAGCAGTAGGTGGTGGTGGTGGTATCTCAGTAATGGCAGCAGTACGGCCGTGAGGAGACAGCTAAAGCTCTGGATAGAGCTTCCAGCAAGTAGCCCTGAGATGTCCTGGTCGGCCACAATAATCACACTGACGAGAATCCCCCTGTCTGCGCTGATCTGGGGCACCTTGACAGCGCTGATCCGAGTGCTTCCTACCCCTAACTGAAGATCCTGAACGAGACCTTACAGCAGCTATGAGGGTCATATGATCAGCCGAAGGAGTCAAGGTCGCAACTGGAAGTAATGCAATACGGATGCGGCGTTCATGCTCTGCTCAATCATCTCATACACCTCATAAAGAGAAGGAAGCGTCAACATCGACAAGATCTGGGAACGAGGTCCCTCAAACTTATCATGAAGCCCCATAGGGAACTTGTGAATTCTATCCTCCTGCTCTCGAGTATGCAAGAATGCTGCTCCCTCGGGCTCTATCCTCGGAATAGCAGCAAGAGGACGTAGAGTCTCATACTCAAGCCAGCGCTGGGTCAAATAGCCATAATAATCCTGAATGGTCATATCTCCCTGCCGAACATATGAGAGCTCCTGAAAAAGCTCATAAACACAAACTCCCCGTCCTGACTGGGAATACATCTCTGATAATGTGCTCCATAACTTCTGAACAAAGTTATGAAACTGGTGAATCCTGTAAATAGATGGCTCTATCGAGCCAAATAACAATTCAAGAATGACGCAGTTCTTAGAGAACCACGCAGAATATCCAGGGTTGCCATCAGCTGATTTTGGGTGAGATCCCGTCAGCCAACCAAGCTTCCCTACATGGCCTAAGAAAAGCTGGAATGAGCGAGACCACTCAGCGAAGTTACGGCCATTCAATAACTGTACCGTAACTTTTTGAGAGATCATGTCCGGCAGTGCTGGTAATGCAAATGTGCCAGTTGGTACTGTATACTAGCCAAACATAAAAGTGGAGTTACCAATAGATGTCTCAACGGTAGAGGTGTCAACAATAGGGGTTTGAAGTCTTTTAGTAATAGCCATATCAACAACAATACTAGGGCACCCATGACAGAAAAACAACTCTAAGATAAATAAAGGGATAAAATAAGGGAGAACAATATACCTCAAGTCAAACAATAGCGACAGATAAAGAAGGTCCAGAAAGCTCCCAAATAATCAGGTCACGGTGTCCAAAAATCCAGTAAATATAAATAAATGATCTACTGCATCAAGAGCAGATCAAAGGAGAAGAGGATCTGCTCCCTCCTAAAAAAAAGTCCGAGATACTGCAATCAGGCAGCACTGTAACGAAGTGTGCAAAGGACGAAGCTACAACGAAAAAGCAACCCGACAGTGGGCTGATGGATAGTGACCCAGGTTGAGCAGTGGGTCGTTGGGTGGGGCAGTGGGCTGGTCTGGGTTGGGTTTGGATAATGGGTCGCTAGTCTTATTTGGTTTGTTGGTTTGTGACGACTGATAATATTGATTTGTGGGTTAGTGGTTGTTTACTGGGTGGTTTGCTGGTGGGCTGATGGACAGTGGCCCAGGGGGGCAGCGGGTGGTTTTGCGGATGGTTTAGCTGATGGGCAGTGGCTGGTTTTGGTTGTTGATATTGGGTTAACTGTGTTGCTGGGTTGCTGTCGGTGGACTGTGGCTGTACTGTTTTGGTGTTGGCAGTTTGTCGGTGTTGTTGGTTTGATTGTTTGGTTTGATGGAGGCAATCGGTGCTTGCAGTGGGTTGGTTTGATAGAGGCAGTCGGTGTGACTGTGGCTGTGCTGTTTTGGTGTTTTGTGGAGGCAGTCGGATGCAAGTCGGTGTAGGCTGTTGTGATTGGCAGGCTGTTGGTGAGTATTCTGGACAGTGGGTAGTGGGTGCTGGTTTGCTGCCGCAGTGGTTGGTGGTGGTGATTGGTGATTGGTGATTAGGGTTAGGGTTAGGGTGTAGCTCTGATACCAACTTGGAATAATTGTGAGTGAAAAAGGGATACAAACTAAGTGTAGAGCCCTGTATATATAGCCAATGAAAGTTACAATAAGGATAAAAAGGTAAAAAGAGAAAACTTAATAAGTCCTAATAAACTAGGCTGCTGCTATATCTCCAACAGGTTACATAGATCATGGGTTGATTTGGAGTTAGGATTATAATATGGAATTAGGAATTTGAGCTATCTAGGTCGCGCACACACCCCATTTGTGGTTGTGTGACCCTGGATCATGCACTTTTGGGATTCCAGTGATCCCGTTATATTTGGTTAGACTTCCTTGAACCGTGGCCACAACCATACCCTCTTCCGTAGATTTCTCTCTCTCTCTCTCTCTCTCTCTCTCAGATCGCAACATAAAATTCAGATTTTTGTATATAATAGAGTTCGTACTCTTGTTACTGGCGTGCTCGTTGACAATGAAATGCAGAAGCACTAGGGTATACAGAGAGAAAATTAATGCATGAAATGCACTCGATAAAATATCAAAACTCTCAAACATGCTTTATATGTCCACATTGCCATCGATTGATTGGATGATGGTGAACTGGAAATGTTTATTAGAAAGATGGAAAAAAGGTCTTTTCTTAGTCCTTTTCAAGTTTTGTAACGATCTGAAAAAGATAAGTGTGCTCCTTAAAAGTAGGGACAACTCTTTGTCCCAGAAATTGGAGTAAATATTGAATTCAACTATGATACCATGTCAACAATGTTAATGTGGTATCACTAACCAATAATAAAACACCAAATAGACAAGGTGAGTCTCACTTAGGTAGTTATTTGCTTACATGGAGAGTTGGTTATTAATTTTAGTAAGCCCTTTGCTTATTTGTTTTGATATTATTGGTTGGTGATACCACGTCAGTATTGTCACGTGGTATTATCGTTGTAATGAATATTTTCTCCAAAAATTGATGGCAAGACTACCCACCTTCTTAATGGGGGAGTTGGCTTTTCCCATGATTCTAACTGTGATAACTGTCGAAAGCAAAGTACAATTATTTCAATATGAAGATGCTTAAAAGGAGGAAAGTATCGAAATGAACTCACTTCTTCATTAGCTATTGTAATTCAGAGATTACTAATCAATTAATGCCTATTGGTAAGAGACTTTGACCTATAACACTTTTGGTATTGTAGAGTTGAGTTGAAAATGTTTGAACCATTGTATTTACGAAAAATGATCTTGAAATCTGATGCCGGTTAAGTAAGGTGAAATTCTGTGGTAAAAGCATATGACCCAAGTGGTTTTATAAATTAGCACTTAGATTAACTAATGAACGTGGCTGGGATTATGTCTGTTGGACCAGCTGGCTGCAGTTGTGATTGCTAAGAATTCAACTGTTTATTAATTGTTTGTACCTTGCAAAGAAATATCTTTGGGTAAAAAGAAATTTTAGAACATAACAATCAGTGTTGCGTTAGACTCCCGCATTAGTTCTGAGTTTGCCTGTGTTTTCAAGGTCAGTGTGGATGAAAGCAATCATAGCTTAAAGACACATTAATATGCTGTTGTTGTGATGTTTTAAGCAAATATTTTGTCATATTCCTATGATGCTGGCACTTAAATCCTTGGTCCAAAAAAAAAAAAAAAATGCATTCTATGTATAGGACCTAGCATGTTTGATATTCTGATTGTTGATGGCTTCCTTACATGAATCTAGGGAACAAGTTTCAGAATTGAATTAATACTGTTTCTACTGAACCATGGGTTTTGGATTAGGTTTAACCGGTTCAATCTACTTATTTAAAAAAAAAAAAAAAACTACTTATTTTAATCATTTTCAGGAAGTTATTGGAAAGTCAGTTAATGGGACTACTTATGCTGGTTTGAGAGCACGAACAACAGGGGCTCCGCAGAATCACTGGTAGGTAGAAATACCAATGTATTTCCCCTCTCTCCCCCCCCCCCCCCCCCATAGGAGGTTTGGGGGGGGGGGTTGTCTCATTGTGATCTTTTCAACAAGTTAATATTTTGAAAACGATAATCTGCTTCAGGTTTGGGCCAGCTGGAGATCCAAGAGGAGCCGGAATAGGGACTCCTGAAGCAATAAAGCTTGTCTGGTCTTGCCACAGAGAGATTATATACGACTTCGGTCCCCTGCCACCACAATGGGAAGTTCCAGCTTCTACTTGAAGAGGCACATTGTGACAGACGAACGCAGATTATTTCAACCATAAATCACAAAGATGATGGGCAGCTAATAATTATAAGTCAATGAGGATCAAACATAAGCGCACATTCTCGAGTCTCATGAAAAATAAAAATGACATTTTGCTTTGTGACATCTACTTCTCAATATATGCAGTTTGGTTTTGATTTTGCTGTCCAGATTATGCTATGGATTACTTGCTTAACATGATTTTACCCAGAGTTTCTTAAGATTGCTAGAACTGTAGTTCTGAATGCTATAAGCAAGAAGCTAACACAGCTAGCCTGGTTAGAGGCCTACAGCTACATTATCAAGAGCTTCGGGTACTTATGAAGCTTTGCTCTATCAAGATCGTACCGTACCCATGAATTAGGTTAACAATATAAGTTCAAGTATCAATATTGTTTAATTTAATAAATTTTTCTTTTTCACATATATATACTAGTTCAATATAACTCTAACACAACACATAAAATAACATGAACTTGATACGTCACGAATAAAAAAAAAATACAACCAATTATAATAATAATAAATAGGTTCAGGTTAGACTAATATGAATGACCCGTTTCATTAGTATTGTAACAAAAGTATATGTTTTTTTTGTTTTTTCATTTCTTGATATATTATTATGTGAATGATTCTAGGATTAACTGGCTTCTGATTTGGGGGATGAAAACTTCAGTTTTTGTTGGACTCAAAGGAAAAGATGTTGATCTGTTTAGACTCGGGTTTATTAAGCGATTTTTCCATTAATTTATTGGGTTAGAACAATTTTTATCAGCACCAATTATAAATCAAGCTTATCTAAAGAAAAACCGATGTTTTTGAGAATATTAATTCTAAGAATTTTTTTAACTATGATTTTTTCACAAAAAATTTCAAATTTCTATTTTTTACTAAAAAAAAAGTCAGTTCTAAATAGACTTGTTACTCAAATATACACGGTATATCATGCATACATACATGATATACCCAAAAGAAGAGAGAGAAGGCAATTTTTTAGAATTATTTATAAATTTTGAGGATTATTTATAGTTTTTGGAGTTCTTGATTGATTTAAAAAAATATGGGATCGATCCTAAGTAACGCAAAAAGTTATAGTAATCCTCTCCCTATGTCCCATAAGTACAGAGCCCATGAGCCTTTAAGCCCATCTCTATTAACAAAACCGTCCGGTCCAAGCTCTGTTTTGCTTTCTTTCTTGTTCAGGCGCCAAACTCACCACCACACTTAGGGCTTCAAAAGCTTCCTCCTCCGCCGCCGCTACGACGTCATTTCTCTCTCCTTTCAAGGTTCGTGCTTTACACCGAACTTGTTTGCAAAAAACTAACTTTAGTCGTTCTTATTCCACTTCACAAGTCTGGTTCCAGAGAAAAATTTCCTACTCTTTTCTTGTAAAACGTCTGCCTCAGCTTGTTTTAGCTATTTTTTGATTCAATGTCTTTACTTGAAGTGATCACAAAGGCTTCGGCGAATCCCAATCCAACCACCGTCGAATCATCCTACCCAATCATTCTCAACCCAGACCCAATTTTCCTAAACCTAAAGCCCCTACTCGATTCCTCAAACGACCCCTCACTTCCAAAACGTGTCGAAGGATTTCAAATTTCTCAAACCGACACCGAACTCATTGAATTATCCCAGAAATTCTTCAAAAAGCTAAAGCGAAAGCTCAAAAGCCTCAACACCTTCACTAAAGCCGAGTTCATCGAGATATTCAATTCATATTTAGTTAAAAATAGTGAAAAGATTGGTATTTCAGTTGGGGTTGATCCGTCTGACGAGGGCTACACTCTTCAATTAATCGAAAAGGTAGGGTTTTTGATGGGTCGCGATGTTTTAGGCTTAATTATGGAGGCTTGTATTGTCTTTGAGATTTGGGAGGTGCTAGAAATTGTTATTGTTAATGGTTTTGTTGAACATTCGTACCTTTCAAATTTAATTTTCAGTTTGATTGAGAAGAAGAGGTCGGATTTGATATGTTTGTGTGTGAAGTATGTTTCGGATCTTCAGACCATTGATATACTTCACATTTTGAAGTATTTTCTTTCGCCACCTACAGAGGGTTATAAGAGCATGGTTAGTGTGTGGAAAGAATGGGAGAGCCAAACTTTAATGGCTATTGAGAAAGTGAATGATAAGAGTCTTAGTGGGAAGAAATTGAGCTTGGCAAAGGAGGCATCAGTTTTGCTTATGGTAGCACATGATGGGTTTTCAGTTAATGAATTGTGTTTGCATTATTTATTTGGATCGTCAAATCTTGATGAAGTGCTATTTGCTTCTTGTATCAGTAAGTTGAATGGTGATGAGATGATGGGTTTGATTAGGTATTTGGGGAAGTGGGTAAGGAAGTATGAGAGGTTTCCCCAAGCGTGTCCTTGCCCTAAGGCGTCCTCTATGTTGGGATTGAAAGCTTGCAATTGGGTACCTACTTTTGAAGACATTGTGAAATGTTTTGGATTGGTTGTGGATGAGCATTTCTCTTCGATGGTTCTGCATTCCGAGTTTCATGAGGAGTTGAGATCTATAGAGGGAATTGTTAATTCTTTAGCTGCAGAATCAAGACTTTGCGGTACTGTGGCAAATTTGGCTGAGAATTTGAGAAGCAAAGTTAAAGGTGTGTACTTTGAACTCAAAATTGTCAGTACTCCTGCATCAATCTTGCATTTTGGTTCTTCTCTTGCCCTTATAAAACTGAGAATTGACATTTTAGTGTGTGCCTCAGATGCACTTTGAACTGAGTTGAGCTCATTCAAGTATTCAAAATTTCTTGTATGCAAATTTGTTGCAGTTCTTGCTAGTTTTATTGCTTTTGTTGGACATAACAATGTTTTTTCTTTCCTTCCTTTCTGAATAACTGATCTTTTTTTGAGACCCATATTTGCCATTGCCATTGCCTTTGCCATTTCCATTTCCATTGCCATTGCCATTGCCATTTCCATTGCCATTGCCATTGCCATTTCCATTGCCATTGCCATTGCCATTTCCATTGCCTTTGCCCTTTCCATTTGGTTTTTTTTTTCCTGTAGAATTTAGCATTAGATTATTGTCTGAATAACCATCCAAAGTATCTTTTTTGCTTTTATTGGACATCTGAAAGGGTTTAATATGGGAATATAGCGACTAAGTGTGTGAGGATTTTGTCAGATATAGGATAGGAATGGAACCAGTTGCAGTTCTCAACAGTAAAATACTTCTGTAATGAAATACAAATAACACAGTAATAAGTTGACATCTACTTTGGTTACATTATGCGTGAAGAGAACAATCAATTCCATGTATATTATTTCTATAAGTTGTCTGACAAAAGCAATTTATTTGCATCTTTCATGATAAATTTGGCATTTATGGGCTATTTGTGGTTGGCAATTTGCTATTGAGAACTAATTGAATCAAACGATCCTTTGATAGTCGTATCATTTGTTCTAGAAAGTGCTGAATCTTAGAGAAGTTGTGTTCTGTAGTGGTACCATCTTTTATGAAATAACATTTTTCCATGATTTCAGATTGTGGTGCTTCATCTCTCTTGCACTCTGTCGCCTGAGAGTTCACCCTCCCATTTGTTTACAAAAGTTTCTTTGTAATTGATTGAGTTAGAAGAATTTGATCCACAGGATAGTTTGCCATGTCTTGATTTGTTTGCTCAAGAGAGAGGCATTGATAATCTTTGATAGGTAGGGCATTGATTCTCAGTATACTCAACTACTTTGCTGCATTTATTCATTAATGCGAGTGTGGCAGCTTTATCCTCTGGTGAGGCTTCCACAGAAATCGTGAATGCTATTGGTCAGATTCAGGTCCAAGCAATGAATTTGCAAGTCTTTTTAGTTCCAGGGGAGAATAAGTCTTTTGCTGTCTTCTTCTATAAACATTTTAATTCTTAATTCTCCTACTTTATCGATGGTTTGATAATACTCAACTTGATGTGATCCATTCAAAATATTGTCCCCTGCATACTAATGAATATATATAACGAGTTAAATGCACCTTTTTGTGGAAGAATTCTATTGTGATGCTTTGGGATGTATGTGAATTTGTTAAGGTTTTCCTCTTGTTTTTCCTAGAATTGAGGTTTTGAAAATTTGGGTTTCCAAAACTGTCACTTACAAGTGGGTTGCTTTGGAATAATATTGCCATAGAAGCTAGTGAAAGCTTCGAGTGTCCAAAGGGTTTGGGGGCATCATAATAAGTGTTTTTTGAGAGAACGAGAATGTGAAACTCTGCTGTTATCCTTGTACAATGGGATTGTATAACTGATAACTGATAACTGGGTTCATTATGAATTTATCATATTATTCTTACCAAAAGCTCTGAAGTCTTAGTAGTGGATTAAAATTAGAAACTTCAGTTTAGCAATGATTATAGATTTATAAATCTCAAGCACTTTAGCCATCTGTGGATGTTGAATCACGAGGATATAGGTGAATTTTGGTGCTGAGAATTTCACATTCACCTAAGTTGGAATGTTTGAGGTTCAGGCTGCCCACCAGCAACCAAGAATGGAAGGGTGAAGCGATCAGAAAAGGACAGCAATTTAGGCAAATATAGCCTGTTATTTTGTAGGAATGTTTAGCTACTGCAATTTTATTATGATTAGGAAAAATCTTTACTTTTACTCTCTATTTCTGTTTTTATTTTTCAATAATACAAGAAAGCTGTAGTTATAATATCCATTTTGCCAACTTCAAACTTCACTATTAGTTCCCATGTATGTGAACTTGTAAACATAGAGTTACTAAGAAGAAATTATATGCCAATTCATAATATTTTGCAGGGTAACCATCATTCAGCTTTCAGCTTTGGAAGAGCACGGCACTTAAGCTGTCAAGGAGATGGTCCTTTGGAAGTTTAAGGCTACAATTTTGGCAGATCTAGCGTATAGGCATGGTAGGAACATTTAATGGGCTACATCCTTGTGTAAGTTGCTGATTGTTCAAGCTTGCCAGAAACTTGTGAGATTCCTACATTTTTTCTTGTTAAAAGTTTCTTTTTGTGGAAACCCTGCAAGATTGATGATGTTGGTGAAAATATTAGATTTCCTATTAAATTCTCTCTTTTGCTTGTATGCTCGAATACTTGTGTCGTTTCCACCCCATTCCAGGTCAACTTCATGCAGATGGTTTTACTTATAGTGATGGGGTTGTACCATTGTTTTCTCAGTTGGGAGTTTTAACACGGGACATGGCTACCTGAAAAGTGAATGCGTGGAACTGCTTTGTTCTCAAACCTATCTGCATATATGATTATCTGGTTGAACCATACATCAAGTTTGGAATGGTTTGTGATGTTGATTACTTCTTTTATGACAGAATTTTGATGGAAAATCATACAAAATAGATTACAAAATTGTATGCCTATTTAACTTGGACAGCTTACTCTGGCCACAATCACAAGTATCGGAAGTAGGAGTAGGAGTTATGGAGTGCATAGTAGATTTGTTAAGAATTAAAATTGTTTGCTACAAATGAATTCGTTGCACTATGCAAACAACTGACGCAATGCTTTACGAAATACCACAGCTTCTGTTTAAGTGGTGGAGTTGCCATCACAAGAGACCTCTGCTTGGTAATATTTGATACGAAACAAAGCCAAAGCCTTCATATGTTGCGTCTCAGGCCTAAGCTGTGGTACTGATTGTTTCAATTTGGTATGAAATTTGCTATTTATTGTTGGTATTAGTTTCTTTTGTGGTTTTAAACTCTTGATGTATCGTCCTGTCGAGAGATTTTTTCATTCATTTGATCGTATGGAAATCTGAAGAATCACTTTCCTCTTAGTTTTTTTTCTTCCTATTAACGCTCACACAATAGCAGAGTCATGGTGATCCTTAGCACTGCATAGGAAAGCTAAACATCAAATGACTAAAGTCTAAAGCAATTACGTTTTAATGCATATCCTCTGTCCAAAACGTTGTGTCTTCTTCTTTCCTTTTATTTTGTAATTTTTCAACAAAATAGGTTACGCCTTAGCCTATCACACCAAAGCTCACTGTTTAGCCAAATTAAACAGGGTAAACCTTAACCTAGCACATAAAAACACTGCTTTGCCAAACCCAACTGGGACTTAATCAACCAGATGTTCAATACTGCATTTCATGGGTGTGGTTCAAGTGGTAAAGAAGACGAGGTGAAGACGTTTTGAGTTCGAATTTTGATAATCTTTGAGTATTAGGTCACGAGGGTTTTAGACCGAAAAAATGATTAGTCGAAAGTTGATTTAAACACTTTTGACAATTGAAAAAAATAATAATACTGAATTTCATTACATACCAAGGGCATGCTCGAGCTTCTGAACTATTAATATGCATTACAGATGAGATAGGTAGATTGCAAAAGAATCCTGTTAAATACATAATATTTGTGGACAGATTGTTCTGAACAAATCGTGGATGACATTCTAACAAACCATCTAATCAACTATAACCACGAATATCTGTCCAACATAATTAGCACATAACGCATCTGCCTCATAAAAAATAACTTTTTTGATAGTGAAGGCAATTGTTTCTCAACTATAGGAATCCAAATCCATCGGCATCTGGAAGCGGCACAGTGGACACAAATGGCTCCTCTCCAGCCACTGAGCAATGCAATCGCCATGATAGACATGCGAACACGGCATGCACGTAACTTCTTGGCCTACACAAAACTTTTCCAAACATATCATACATTCTTCCATACAACCCGAACCCTCAAGTCTCACCTTCTTCAGACCCTCGATGGACGATTTAATGGCAGGCACAGCCTTGAACATATCTAAACCCGTGGATTCTTCAATAGCTCTATTCACCGCTTGAGTTTCATCATGTGTCTCGATCAGAATATCTGCAAGAACTATGGGAATTGCACCACCACTACAGGTACTAGAAGCTGGATCTACACCCATGTCCAGATAGAAAGAAACGATTGCATGTATGATCTGATCGTGATCATCGATGGGGATTCCCATTACTGAAAGACACTCAGATAAGAAGATCCGAGCCGAGTCTTCGTGCAGTAGCATCTCATGCAACAGAGTAAAAGCCTGCGCGTATTCGGGAAGTTCTTGCACAGAATCGTGGATATATACACGTCCACGTATGCGGATTTGGAGGCAAAGCGACTCATGTGGTGGCAAACGCCGTGAGCCTAGTGTGAGAGCATCCCTGGCCAGTTGCAGTGAATATTGAAACGACATCTCAATTCTTGAAGAGAGAGATGAACTGGAGAGACTGGTAAGGAATATTGTTAATGGAGAGGAGAGAGATAGTTGATTCTTGAGAGATTGGCGAGGAATGTTAAGAAGAGAAGGGTTGTTTCAATGAAAGAAGTTAGAGACCCACACTTGTATAAAGATTGGAATACGCGTAGAAGAGTCCCACTATACTTCCTAGTTTAGAGATTTCTCTAATTAGTTAATTCTATCTCTATATATCTTGTCTTGTCTTGTGAACAAGGTTTCGTTTTTTTTTTTAAATATGAACAAGGTCAGCCCATCCAAACTACCATTCCCAAAATTTTAAGCCATAAAAATTGAGTTAAAAAAAAAGTTGAATTAAAATTTCAACCAAAAAAAAAATCTTAGGATTTGGGCCCAAAAGTTTAGGCCTATGACACAAAAAATTAAATTTGGTAAAAAAAATAATTTACATTAGACATCATTAGTTATTCTCTCGCACACATATGTTCTGCCTCTAGATATACTCTTGTTCTTATATAAAATAAAAATATAAATCAAATTATTTATTTTCATTCCTTTTTCTTTTCGGTCTCACACTCTCTCTTTTTATTTATTTATTACGAATGCAATACTTTTTTGATTAACTGCACTGTAGGTCTCTAAAATATCGAATTTATTTCATTTTGGTTATTTTATATTTTAATTATATCATTTTAGTCCCTAAAGTATTAAATATGTTTTTATGTGATCTCTCAAACATGATAACATCTAAGTTGCTAACAATTTTTGAACAAAAACTTGTCATGTGATACCTAAATATGAGCAAAAAATAATTTGGGCAACTCTTGACAAAAAATGTGTAATATGGGTAGCTCTTGACCAAAATTTGGATATTTCATGATCAAAACTATATACTTTGGGTAATTCTTTGACCAAAATTGTTTTAAAAATTTGGTCAAGAGTTATCCAAATTATTTTTTCCTATATTTAAGTAAGTTTATAATAAAAAATCGTTAGTAATTAGAACGATGTTTACTTGAGAGACCACATAGAAATATATTCAATTTTTCAAGAACTAAAATGATATAGTTAAAATATTGGGGACTAAAATGGGATAAATATCATACTTTGAGAACATTCGGTACAATTAACCCTACATTTCTAAATACCTAAAGACAAAAACATTAACCTATTGATTCTCATTTTTTTTTCTAATAGGCGATATTAGAGGAGAATTTTTGTATCATATCTTAATTTCGTGGTTCACGATAATAAATTAAGTTTTATTATTTTATAATTTTAATTTTTTTAATTCCAAGATAATAATATTTTCTTATTGAAGCATTTGGTTTTTTTTTGTAAATATAAAAACTAGAATAACAAATATTTGTATAGAAAAATTTTGAAGAAGAGAACATTTTAAAAACTATTTAAATTTTAAATAAAATATTTTTAATTATATTTGTCGCTGATAACAAACACAACATAAAAAAAAATTAGGTTAAATTTAGGTACATAAACAAGAATAAATCTTATAAAATTAGAAAGCTTATGTGGATTAGTCACGTGATCAATTGCAAAAAAAGAATGTGTATAAAACTTGACTAATAATAACTATCTTAAAAAATAAGAAAAAATTTAAATTAATATTAAAAAAAACTTTATTTAGAATAGCCACCGCTCAAAGTGTATCAAACCACAACTGATGGATTATTTGAGAGATTTCGAAAAATGCGAGTCAACAAAGAGATGAGGAAGACAAACAAATGTGCAGATCTTTTTGTTAAAAATGGTGTACTTAGCCATAATAATCTATGTATATTTATAATTCCTATAGATTGTACTATTGAACAGTTAAGCGCCGATGACATGGGTATGAAATAACATATATATAAAATATTTAATATATGTTAGATGTCTAAATTACTAACAAAGAAAAGTTATGCAGCACCACATAGAGACGAAGACTCGATAGTGAGAGACTTACAGAGATTATTATCGTTGTGAGACGTGCTGATATTTCGATTCTTTGACTGAGAGGAGGCACAACAAGGCCCGACCATTAAATTAGTCACATAAAACCCTAAAAAATTTAGTATTCCAATTAAATTTTCAACCCTTAGTTTAATTTCATGTTTTGAGGTCATTTTAAATGGACAAAATTAAAGACTTAATATATTTCAAATTTATGTAAAGCCTTATAGAAAGTCATAAAATGTAACAATATTTTCACAAGTCTATGTTAAGTCTTATAAAAAATTTTAAAATATAACAAAGACTTTTAAAAAAACTTAAAAGTAACGATTTCTACTTTAAAAATAGCACTCTCTAAAATTCCTTTCACTCTCTTTACATCCATTCTCAACGCCTCTTTCTAAGTCTTTTTCACCCCTCCACTCTTATTGTCTTACTTTTTTCTTATTCTAGCTCTCTTTTTTAAGATTTTATTTATTTTATCTGATTCTGACTTATTTTATTGTTTGATCCGTTTGATTCCAAAATTACTAAAATTTTTGAATTAAATCATGCCGTA